TGAAAACCTTTGCTGTCTCTTTGGAGGAGACCTGAATTTCGGATTCACGGGACGTGCACTTCCCAGGGCTAATCCAAGTGACTGTGTTCGTGTCACACATGTGCGCGCAAAGGTCCACCAAGGCATAGCTAGGCACCATGTCACGTTCAATGAGAAGGCCACTGAGCCGCTGTTTCTGCGCCATTGCACGCGCAGCCTTCTCAGCTACAGGCAGCTTACGTGGCGTCTCAGTGTCTCCCATGACGCTCTGGCGAAGAGCCGCCACCACAAAGGTGGACGCCTCAAACATGAGCCGCTTAAGCATCCCAACGTCACCCAACTTCGGATTTGCACCTAAGACCTTGGTTGCAAAGGTGTCAAAGGCAGCTTGGCTTGGCGGCTCCTTTGGAGTGCCACAGGCATATGCCAACTGTGCGAAGGTTTCCACGCCCTCTCCCTTCAAGCTGGTGTGAATGTCGGCAGCACCCACATCGGTGCAACGTTGCAAGAAGCTCGCTTTGCTGTCCACAAGTGCCATGGTGCTAAAGCCACTACGATCCTTGAAGCAAAACTGCGCCCCCAAGATGTGTGGCCGACTGATATGTATTGTAACACAAAGCACTCATACATCAGACTGCATCATGAGAGCAAGGCGCAGGTCAAAGTGTATTGCAACACAAAGCACCCGTACATCAGACTGCAGCCTTAGAGCAGGGCGCATTCAAACGACCCCAACATTTTGTCGCAGACAAGCGCGATAGATTTAAAGGCATTTGGCAGCCCGCTTACACATCGAGCATACCGAAGAATCAAAACGGACGTCCGTAGCCGCCTGATGCACTTCCTGCACCATCCGACCACAGAGCATGACCTTGAAGTTGCCATCGGCAATCATATGCAACATTTTTGTGTTGCTATGCACCAAAAACCGGGTCCCCGCTGCTGGCGTTGGGATCCCTATCACACGAGATGCGTCCTGGTGATCCGTGTCTGTCAAGACGTCACTCGTTGAAGACAATGATGAATCTGAGTCGGAAGAGCTGCTGGACTGTAGGGCATCCACGTCCGCCGAACCCTCCGGTTCACAGAGCTCCCCTGCATCAGGTTGTTCAAGCAAAGGTCCTGCTATAGGTGCAGCATCCATGCCCGGTTGATCCGACACTCGTTCGAACGAGCACAATGCAGACTCCTCCCCATCAGCGGACTCAACCCCAGCACCGTCATCCTCGACAACTTCAGCTGCCTTAGGAGAAGACTTAAGCTCAGCTTCGGACAATCCGGTGAACCGGCCGGCACGTGATGCATCAGGATCAAAGGATCCGTCACGGATGTCGGACAACAAGGCCTCCAGCAACCGGAGAGGTCTTGCCGCATAGTCATCACCATAGACATCGGCCATTTTTCCCTGGTGGCAATGGTGTCCAAGTATCAACTTGTCCGTATTACCAAGGCCCCGCTTATTTGCATAAGAAAGGAGAGTTCTCTTCAGCGAGTGGGCAGATAGAGGCTCGGCGTCTCTGGGCAAAACCAAACGCAACCATGCACTAATCTCCGCCGTAGACACACCGGCCTGACTGGCCGTTCCATCGACCGAAGGTGTTGGTAACGGAGGTTCAATGCCGTCAATGCCTAGCTCACGCCTGACCCCAAGCCACAAGCCCAACCACGGCTGGTCCGCAACGCCCAGCGCAGGCGCCACCCAAACAGCAGGCTCGTCATTCCAAAACTTTGCGTTCATAGTCTTGAATACGTCTGCTTGGAACTCAAGATATACAGGGCTCCCCTCTGAATTGCAATCAACGGAAAACCTGACAGTCTGTTGGAAGTCACCCCATCTAGCCCTCATGTAAGCACATGCCAGGCAGGCTCCGGCAAACATACGATCCCAGAGCTGGCCATGCTCATCCCCCAACAGGCGGTGCAA